CACAGAACACTCCTTGCAAAGCCGGCTTTGCTAGGTGAGCACAAGGATCATCAACTGATGATCGTGGCTATAACCCCCTTACCTACTTCCTTAACCAGCCTCTGGCGATGTACATTTTCAAAGTGTCAAAAACCCACTCCTTGCGAAGCCAGCTTCGCTAGATGACCTTGCCAAGCTGGCTTCGCTAGATGAGCACAAGGATGCTGCTGTTCGGCTGGTTTTCTTTACTATTATTATTATTTTTATTGTTTTTTTGTTTGTGTTTGTGTTGTTGTTTTTTTCCTCCCCAAGCCCCTCTCTGTTCTCTTGCAGGTTTCGTTGCTTCTGCAATTGGTGTTTCCCACAGCTTTCCCCTGTTGTCCCCACCTCCATCCCCCTTTCCCCTTCTCTTGCAGGTGTTGTCCTTCTCTGTGCTGTCTGTTTGTGCCCCCCCATCCCCGTGTCTGCCCCCCTGTCCGGCCCGGTGACAAATCAATACATAATTAAATAAATAATAAAACAGACAAAGGAGTATTTTAATACTCTCTTGTTAAAGTAAAATCTGTCTGGCACAATATGGTATCCAGGTCATTATACTCTATACCAAGCTGCTGGGCAGGACAGGTTTAAAAAAAAAAAAAAAAAAAAAAAAAAAAAAAAAGATGAGCACAAGGATCATCACCTAATGATCGTGGTTATAACCCCTTATATATTTTGTATTGTATGTATTGTAAATATGTTGCAATATACTGTGGGTATTTTGATATAAATCTGAAATAAATATCCACACTTGCTGTATTGCATGTCAACACTCAAAAAAAAGTAAAAGAGAAAAATAAAAATAAAAAATAGAAAAATAAATACAAAAACGTTCTTGAACCTAAATTAAGTGAAACCTACGGAAAAGTAAATTTAAATATGCCACTCTGAATTGCCTGATGAAGGACAAGCAGCCCTCCGAAACATTGCAAAGGCAGAGTGTAGAATTACAGGGAGAAATGCAGCTAATCGTCAGACATCCAAGCAGGGTGCAGAAGCTACAGGATTCGTGGAGTCCAATTTTTTGACCAAGCACAAAGGTAATACACTTTTGTGTTCTTCTTTAATATGGGAAGTGTCGGAACTTAAAACCATGAGTTGGAGAGTGTTTTTGCCTTTCTGGGGTCTCTGGAGGCACATCACAGGACAGTGCACCAGACTGGCTAACATGGAGCTTTGTAAGTCGTTAGCCAGTTCTTTTTCCCCTTAACCTAACCAGCCAGTGCCGTGTGTGTCCTCTAGAGGGCTCCATGGAGGGTGGGGACACTCTTACCCAGCCCAAACCCCTCACCTTAACCTCAGTACTAACCGTGACTCACTGAAAATCTCAATTGGAGAGTGGCAATGCCAAGTAAGTCCTAAATTATGATTGGAGTCATGTTACGCTATCCAGATTTAATTTGGAAACTTAAAAGATTTTATTGTAGCGAACAGCAGATACAGTTGACCTTAAATATAGAAAATGTATCTATAAGCCTCAAGCAGAAGAAACCTGGAAACCTAAATTAGAAAGCCTCAAGCTGAAGAAATAAACCTCAGTAAAGACAATAGGAAAATACCGTGTTCAAACCTGATTAAAGTGAAACCTAAGGAAAAGGAAACTTAAAGTTTCCACTCTGTCAAGCCTGATGAAGGACAACGTTCAAACATGGAGGGTGGGGACATCCTAACCTAGCCCAAACCCCTAACCTTAACCTACATATACATATATAATTCCCCTCAACTGCCTTTGAACGGTAGGACAGAAAAACTGAAATTAACTCTGCTAACCTGGCCCATGTCGTCACATAGTGGGAAGTGTCGTACTCATATTGCAAGAACATATGTAGTTGAGAAAATTAAGCAAAAGGTTTCATGCTTGCACTCAGTGGTAAGGTTTTGAAAAACCAGTCAACTGGTCCAGCTGATTAAATACACTGCTGTCGACTCACTGTTGACTTAGTCCTAAACTAGAGGTAATCTCAGTTAAGTCCAACTGAAATTGACTCTGCCAACCCTGGCCCATGTTTCGCTAGATGACCTTGCAAAGCCGGCTTTACAATGTCCGCCACGGCTCTGTCCTTGCCAATGCGACTGGTTCCCCGCCCCTGGCTCCAGACTGAGGACTGTGACTGTGAAATGAAACACAATTGCGGTGAAAAGACGAGCATGCTATACTCTCACAGTGACATGTTTACTTTCATCACTTCTGCTGCACACTTGTCGGACTTTTGCTGAAGATTTGAAGTGGGATGAGAACGGCTACATGTTGTACTGCCCGTGCATGGGTCGTTTTTGGAAACCAGCAGACCCTGGCAGTCCCTCCCTGGATAGTGTATCGCCACCACACACGACCTTACACCAATGTTCATGTTCCCTACAGGGAGTTCTTCCAGCTGGAGGCCTTGTCTGCCTACCACCGTGTGGTCAGTTTTGAGGACTTCAGGGAGGAGCTGGCTCCCAAGTACTGGCCCACGGGACAGAGGAAAGCATACTGCTTTGAGACTTCTGCACAGCGGAGTGCAGACAAGAAATCCTGTCCTATGAAGGATGGAAACCTGTTTGGTCCATTTTGGGATAATGTCGGTGTGGAATTCGACAAGTCTGTTTTGTCTGGTGGAATTTCTTTCAGTGCCTACCACCAACCTCAGTGGATGAAGAAGTTCCCTCCCTCAGAGCACCCTTTCCTGGCACTGTCTGGGTCTCCCACCCAGTTCCCAGTGATAGAAATTTATTTATTTTATTTTTATTTTTTTATTTTTTAACACATACACATGCTTACTGTTTATTTATTTATTTAATTAAAATTTTTTAACACACACTTACTGTTTATTTATTTATTTATTTATTTTTAGATATATATTTTTAACACAAACACACACACTTACTGTTGTGTTTGTTTATTTATTTTTAATATATTTATTTAACACACACGCTTGCTGTTTTGTTATTTTTTATTTTTTATATATTTTTTTAAACACACACACGCTTACTGTTTTGTTTATTCATTTATTTTTAATATTTTTTAACACACACACACACTTACTGTTTATTTATTTATTTAATTTAATTTTTAATATTTCTAAAAAAAATTTAACACAAACACACATACGCTTTGATTACTTTACGCTTTAATTACTTGTTTAATGAAATGGTTGATTGTTCTTATGTTGTATGTATGATGCTTTGGCAATATTCTTGTGACACATTCATGCCAATAAAGCTAATTTGAATTGAACTGAATTGACAGAAGAGCATGTGGGCCTGCAGCGCTACATGGTGTGGTCAGACAAGATAGTAAAGGAGGGAGAAGAGCACTTTAAGATGGTAACAGCTGACCCTGAGCTGTGACAGACTATGATGTTTATTTTAGGAGAGGCCCCCGATTCGTCCATCTAGATGCCTGTCATGTTTCTATAATTGTGACAGGTGACAGTGAGCAGATCGCAGGGCACCGGTGTTGTTCAGATTGTGTGTGTTTTCTAGTTATGGCGAGATGAAGCTTCAGCACTGAAGCTTTCCATCCAGTTGGTTCACTCATGGGCCGAAGCTTCACGGTGCTTGATTTGCTCTAGTGTGCCATCCAGTGGACAATAAATGTAAAACAGGCAGAGTGATTATAATGGCAACACGGCTTTGGTGTGTGAAGCTTTGAATGGAATGAATTAATAAATGATGTTTGTAATGCCAATTCATGACTGATTAGCTTTTTAATAAGGTGTGTCTTTGTGATACGATGACAGGGTCAAAAGGAAAGTGGAAACAAGGGAGAGGGTTATGATAACTTGGTTTGGGACTTTAGATAATAGAGACAAAATTTTATTCATCTTTATTTAAAAATAACACTTCCACAGTGCTGGGCTTCAGGCCCTTTCTTTTTTGGACATGATTTTACCTGCTTTAGAAAATTATTATTACTGTAATATGGGGTAAGAGTTTAATTCTTACCAAAGCCACAAAATAAAAATAAAAAAAAACATGTCAACACTTTCTTTTCCTCTGTTTAATCACAAAAAGTTATTTGATCAAAAGAATTCAGACATAAGTTGATAAACTTTTTCAGTCATTTAAAATGAGCTGTTGATAAAATCTAATTGTGTTCAATTTCAAGTTCAGAAGTACATAAAAATGTTGATGAGGGTCCATTGCAATTTGCTGCTCCTTTCGAATCGCACGCCAAACCCGCAAACCATCTCCTGAATCGGTCAGTACGGCCGGCTCGCGAGGCTTCGAACGTCACCACATACTAATCAACACAAGCCTCCATACGCGCTTCACAAAAATCGTCCCGCATCACTGAACACGCGCTTCAAAGCCTCGAGGCACATCACTAGTGTTTCTTGTGGAGGCAGCGACCAGCGGCAGAAGAAAGAAAAGTCTCATTTAATGAATGTACAGAGACAGTCAGCAGCCCGGCTGGTTTATAAGTTTGTTGTACTGTGTGTGAGAGCTGATAGTCTGCAGATAGCAACAGGTTAGCACCATCGCTAACAGCAAGCTAACGTCGGAGGAACACCGGATCCCCGGACAGCGTTTCTCAGACAGCACCGGCTGAGAAACTTACCTATTTAAAGAACAATTAATTGCCTAACACAAACAGATAATACATCAAACAGGATTTTTATGGAATGTTAACTGAACTGGTTTTAGTCTACGGACATTAGACAGTTTTAACGTTAAAATAAGAAACCAAAGTAATTCATTGTGTCATGCCTTAACTCACATTTTTATGTAGTATTCAACTCTATATACTGCATAATAGAATTCCTGAAATTCAGTTATGGCTTTTGGTTTAGTGTGCCACCCCAGGATTTTCAGCCACCCCAGGGAAAATTTTCTGGGGGCGACCCTGAGCAAAAGCCCAGGTGTAGTGTCATCTCAAAGTGGAGGAGCAAGGATGAGATTTGAGTTTCCATCAGCAGTGCCGCCACCTGGAGCCATCTCCCCCAGAGGAGGCCACCGACCCCGGGGTCACACCATCTCAGTGTCAGCCGCCTCCTCCAGGACTCTTTCTCCCTCCAAGCCAGTGGGTTTATTTCAGGTTTTTGTCTCCTCTAGCTTTGTCTTCCTCCAGCTGTACCACTCTCCTTTCTTTGGGGATAAAGCCAACAAGCCGCGGCTGCTGCCCAAAACTGAGTTTAGTTGACCTCTCTGACTGACCTGGAATCTGCTCCAGTGCGTTATATACAGTGTTGTTCACTGCGTTTAATTGCTGTGAAGGTTCTGGACCAGATGCCTCCTTGTGACACCCATAAGATCGGAGTGGTGTTTGCAGGAGCCGGTCAGGTGAGAATATAATTGAATATTACGGTCAGCTCATTCATACACTCTCTGACTTTACACCTTCATCCTCTCCACTTCCTCCAGGTTAACAATAAGGTTGCCATTCTATCAAATGAGTATGGTTCGAACCGCTACTCTGCCTTCCTAACAGGCCTGGGAAAATTAATCCAGAGAGGGGGGGTGATTGAGTGATGGAGGTGGGAGAGAGGACTAATCTTGAAAACTTTTACAGAGAAACTTCTCTCACCAGAGCAGATCTGCTCCTCGGTCCAGCAGTGGCACTAAAATGCTACTATTGTTGCCATTATTTGTCTAAAGCACTGAGTCACCGACACAGATTCCTCGTGTAAGTCTAACCTTGTAGGTTTTCTCTAATGTGTCTTTCAGAAGCTGGAAAGAAAGGAACCAGCCAATGAAAAAGCCTGGCAACAAAGAGTCAAGATAGTGAGGAAGCAGCTCCGTGTGGTGAGGCTGCCAGGGAAATTACTGCAGCTGGTGGATCCTCACCACCACCCCCACAGCCTCATGTTGCCGGGTCACCACCTACTGCTGGTTGTCCCTCACAGGACAGTGGGCGGCTCAGTGGAGACGGCAGAGAGTTTATTATACTACTAGCACCCTGATGGGTTTTCCCTTTTAGCTTTAAGATATTTGAAGGAAAAAGAAGAACCCCACCCCTACCCCTAACTTTTTTCCCCACACAGAGACAGTGGCTGTTCCCTGCCCACCTCCGAGTAGTCCTCAGTAGACACCAATGCGCATGAGCCTTTTCAGCAGGTGCAACCAAGTTTTCTTTTGACATGACAGGAAGCTTCCTCCGGTTAACAAAGCCGTGCTCGTCCTGTCTGAACCACGGAACAAAGTCGACCTGATGGCCGATGATCAGTCCAGTTTACCCTTCCCCTAACTTTTCCCCCAACACAGAGGCAGTGGCTGTTCCCTGCCCACCTCCGAGAAGAGAAGGAGAGAGGGAGTGAGTGTCTGTCTGGCTCTGATGTCAGTGTTTGTAGGTTGAATTGACTGAAGGTCATGTTCATGTGTTTGCATGACTGCCTTTGTGTTTGTTTGTAAAATCTACATTCAAGTACACAGTAAGAATCAAATGTTGATCAGAGATTGAGTTTTTGTGTGCATGTATCCACCTATAACCCACTTGGTTGTTGATGTGTCCTGCTGTAGACTCTGGTGGTGGTGCTGGAGAGGAGGTCAGGGTCACCACAGCACACACCCCGTCTGATTGGCCAGAGAGTGAAGAGTCTGAGCCAATGACCTCAGATCCCATCTTCATTCAAAGACCCCGCCGCCTGGAACGCTCAGCAGGGTAGGTAGTTGGTGCACTCTTTGTATTTTTGTTTTTCTCCACACACAAACTACCACGTGTACTACAGCATGCTAAGTAATAAAGACAACACATACATTTTCATTCACATGGCTTGTTGTGGCCGTACTGTCTCTAACCACATACAAGCTGTGAAAAGATGAAAATAGTATTCACAAGCATCTCCACCGCTTGTTGTTAATCATCCACACTCCTATTAAGTGGGTTTCCCCACCCTTGTTTCTGCATAATCACACGCCCACCAGTGTTTTTATTCTGCACATTACTAACCGTTCTGTGGTTCGGCACGTTTTATCTGTAAAATAGTCTTCTACTTTTTGTCTTCCAGTCGTACTGCACCTCCAGTCAGGATGATGAAAAGTCGACGCTGGAGGAGGTGAGCGAGGGAGTGATTCCCATTGACCAGCCCGCTCTGGGACCCTCCACACCAGGTAGCCAGGGGCTCGAGCTTCCCTTCCAGACCCACACTCAGTCCCAGGGTCACGGACTTAACAAGTCCAGTTCCTCTCCGGAGCTCCAAACCTTACCTGAAGCTTTTTCTAAGGCCGCTATAGAGTCCCAGACTGCCAGGAGACGCATCGAGGCCCAAAACACCTTCAGACAGCAAGCCTCAGCAGCAGCAGCCTCGTTTTGAGAAAGAGAAGGTGGAGGGAAGCACAGAGGGGACTTTAATGGACTGGCAGGTCAGAGTCAAGATGGTGAAAGCCCAGGTGTAGTGTCATCTCAAAGTGGAGGAGCAAGGATGAGATTAGAGTTTCCATCAGCAGTGCAGCCACCTGGAGCCATCTCCCCAGCGGAGGCCACCGACCCCGGGGTCACACCATCTCAGTGTCAGCCGCCTCCTCCAGGAGGGAGAGGAGGATGGACATACCACAGTCGACCCGGACCCAGCAACATGGAGAAGATCGCTGGACTGAGCCCCAGGTACTCCCAACATAATAACATAATTTTTTATTCCATTTCTCATATGTGTTGTAAATGCCACTCTTTAAACAACGGCCTTGTTAATTTTGTGCTTGTGTCCAGCAACATGGAGAAGATCGCCGTTCCTCTGCCATCCAGCGGAAAGAGACTCATGCAAAGTGGAGACAAGAGCGACAGTGATTAAGAAGCTCGTCGCTTTCATGAGAAAACAAACGTCGTCTGTCTCTCCCTCCAAGCCAGTGGGTTTATTTCAGGTTTATATTAACTATTGGAACCCCTAATCACTGCCTGCCTCAGTTCGCCAGAACTTGATCCAATACCTGTACTGCCTGACCGTTTACTGTTCTCTAAATACAGCTACTACTTATTTTTCAGGGTGGGCCTTGTGAGGGACTGCATTTAAACAGTGTTAATCTTGGCAGGGATTTTCATTAGTGTTTTAATGGCGCCAAAAAAATGTATGTCGAATAGATGTCATTTATAATGAATTTGTTTTAGTCGATGAAAACTGAAGAGATTCTTTCTTTGTCTTTGAATGACATTCTTTTTATTACAGATTATAGTGTGTTATGTCTTCCAGGTCCTCAATGTATGACTGTATTTCTTCCTCAGGTCCGTCTGTCTGCAGCACAGATAATGTCCCTGGACAGGGTGCTGATAAGAGAGCTGTCCACCCTTACAAAGCAGACCGGGACCCACCAGCAGGGAGAGGTGCAATCTGGTGAGTTTGAAGTTTACTACCACTACTAATACTTCTACTACTTTGTTTAATGGTTATTGTCAGACTGGGTGGCAGCTCATAGCTATTATGGAATGCTTTAACAGAGAAGCTTCCCTCACCAGAGCAGATCTGCTCCTTATTCGAGCAGTGCCACTAATATGCTGTTACCATTTTTTCACTAATTGGTCTTTCAGAAGATGGGAAAAGGCAAAAAACAAATACCCTGGAAAAGAGCAGAGAGGATGAAGCTGCCAGGCAGGTCTCTGAAGCCGGTGGACCGCCACCACACTCTCCACCACCTGATTTTTTAATTTTGTTTATGGAATATCTTTTTGGCAGCTGTTTTTATATTGCTTTTGTGTATGTTTTCTTGTTTCATGTTAATATTATGTTTTCATATTCCTTTCATTGTGGTGTGACTAATCAAATATGTTGAACATGTTTGTGTTCAATTTAATAAATGTTGAATACTTTGAATTTAACACCTTCCTTTTGTCTTTTTTATTTTAATTAGATATTGTTTATCATTGCTAACATTGTGACTTTATTAGTGCAGATTTGGTCACTAGATAGAGCCAAATGAACATCTTAGAACAAAATAACACTAGTCATTGTGTTATGTCCTTTTCATGCTATCTACTCCACCACATCTGAGGGAAATGGACACAAACTGGGGTTAGAATAAGACAAAGGTCACTCTTGTCAAAATAGGGGGAGATATATACATATAAAAACCCTACCCCTGTTCAATTCAATTCAATTTCAATTCAGTTTTATTTATATAGCGCCAAATCACAACAACAGTTATCTCACAGCGCTTTTCATAAAAGAGCAGGTCTAGACCGTACTCTGTGATGTTATTTACAGAAGCCCAACAGTTCCCACCAAGAGCAGCACTAGGAGACAGAGGCAAGGAAAAACTTCCTTTAAGAGGCAGAAACCTCGAGCAGAACCATAGCTCAGGGTGGGCGGCCATCTGCCTCCACCGGTTGGGGTGAAGGAGAGAGAGAAAGAGGGAGAGAGAGGCAGCAGCCTACACAAAAATAATACACACAGAGGTACAGACAGTAAAGGTGATGTTGCTATAGACTAAATGAAAAATGGTACAGATATTTATGGTAGTGTTAATGGTAACAGTCGCAACGTTAATGATTATAATAACAATAGGACTAGTAATGTTCTGGCACAGTGTTGCCTAAACCCAGCTCTCATTATTTTTGAGCACTAATCCTCAAAAGCTAATGTTCTTTAGTTTTTGGGGTTGGCGACCCCCTGCACCCACCACCCCTCGCTCGACCCTCACTGACTCGAAATCCCTTAATCTATGGAGTTCTCCTGGATTCCGATGCAACAGCAGACTATTTCCAAAGCTGGCTTCTCAAGATGGCCCTGTCCTGTCTGTGGTTACCAGTCTCTCTGTGGCTGCCTGTGTGAGGTTATTTTATTTTTTACTTTTTACAATTAACCATGTAATTGGCACTACAAATAAATTAAAACTATAAGCAGAATACTGAAAATATTTTTTGTGTGGATGCACTAAAGAGGCCATATTTGTCTGACTGCTGGTAGAGGGTTTCTGCCTGAAACGTCATTCAAAATCAAAACTATTTACAGATTAAATATATCATACACACATCATCTTCTACAAAGATACAAGGAGAGGAGTAGATTATTTTCTATTTTCTTTATTTAAACAAAAAATATATATATTATATATAATAAATATATAATATAAACAAATGTATGCCTTATTTAAACTATATAAATATATTGCTTTTAAAATTAATCAGGCCATTGGCACTACAATTAAATAAAACAATAAGCAGATACTGAAAGTATTTTATGTGTGGATGCACTAAAGAGGCCATATTTGTCTGACTGCTGAATGTAGAATTTAAAACTTCCTTTATGAACAAATCCATGCCTTCATTGAACTATAAAAATATAAACATCAGCCTCCTTCTTCCATGGGATCATCTTCATCATCTGCAAAGTACTGGAGAAAAAAAAGTAAATAAAAACTGCATATAAGGATGTGAATTTAATTGATTTTTAGTATAGACTATACATTACGTTGTCATCTTCCTCAGGTAATTCAGGAGGAGGAGGAGGAGGAGGCACATGCAGGTGGTGTTCCTCAACAGAGGTGACCCAGAGGTCACTTTCCTGCAAAATGGCACAATACAACAGTTGTTAAACCTGACTGATGCATCACAATTCACAAATATACAATAAACAATACACTGAGATGCCTCCAACTCCAAAATTCCATCCAGTGATATAGCATTCACTGCCCTGTTTGACATAATTCCATACTGCCATTTCAATGCACACTATTCATTGAAATATCAGTATGGAATTATTTAAACAACAATGCTGAGAGCTATATAATTAGGTTGAATGACAAAACTGTCTTTAGTCATGGTGTTAATAATTTTAATCATGTAATATTTTGCAATATATGAAATCCTGGCATGGTTGCTGTGCTGAAACTGTAAAGGAAAAGTGTAAAAGCTACTTTCATCTCATCCTATTAGGCACAAAGTATTTAAATTAAAAAACTCAGAGTGCACTATGGGAAATATCAAAAAGTCTTTTTTGGACTTATTTGGCAACACAGTTGTCCACATTATTTAGTCACAAGAGAGCCCAATATTTCATGGAAAAATATCCAATGACATGTCAATAATTTATGCATGGTGTAAACATACAGATTTATAAATTTATTTAAGGCATACTTACTGGACTGAAGTCGGTGCCATCTTCCACTCCACTTTTGTCAGCCATTATCTGAAAAAGATGCTCTGTTAAAGACAACTTGTCGAAAGGAAAGGCAAATACATAGCATGCCGTTACAAGCTGCGGTTCACAGATTCAAATCTTTTTTTACAATAGTACAGTCTAATTTGGGTGATGCCACGCCCGTTTCTTGCATTTGTAGTTTCCCCCTAGATTTGAATGAAAATTTCAGGGAATGTGTCAGGCACACTTACCAAGTGAAGAAGTCAAACGCTGACAGAGAACAGAAGGTCTGCAGGTGATCACAGTGAAGTGTTTCTGCTGGATCGACTACAGAGATTAGCAGTAATTGTTGCTATCTTCTATGTTTTTTACTATTTACTTTGTAGGGTACCCACCTATTATATACTTAGTACACATATAGATATATGCGTATACAAATATATAGTAGCATAAAAGTACATTTACATATATATATATATATATATACATATATATGTATACAACTGAACTTAGTCAACACTAATCAAAACATTGTTGTAGAAATAAACGTTACTAACTAGGGATGGCTTGAGAGAGATTTACAAAAACTATGTGTCCTATCACGTGAAGGACTTACTGTATTACAAGACATGTTCGTCCGACTACTTATCGATTACTACTTATGTACGTTTTTACAGAAGTAAAGATGGCTGTACAACAAGCAAGTATTTTTTTTGCAAAAAAGGATTCGTGAAGTCCAATTTTTTTAACAAATGCAAAGGTAATGCACTTTTTTATATGCAGCAGAGAGCAGGAATTATTGGTGGGTGATAAAAAATAGGACAAGTGACATGAAAACACAGGAACGGTACACACAGGGACATTATAACAAGGAAATGGCTTAAGACAAAAAAAAATTAAAAAGCCACTTTGTTTCCAGTTTTGCCTCCCAGCCGCAGACTGTGCTATTTCACAGTTAACCAGCACTTCAGTTTGATGCGACTTTTTTTGGCTGTTATAAGGTGAAATGTGGAGCTTGGAGGTGCTTTTCACTTTCTGGGGACTGAAGGCACATCACAGGACCATGCACCAGTCTGGCTAACGCTAACGTAAGTCGTTAGCCGGGTCTTTTTCCCTTCTTCTAACCCCCTTACCTTAACAATTAAGAAAACAACTTAATAAAGACTGATCTAGGAAGATTCAACGTTTATATCTGAGTTATGGCTGAAAAATTATGTCGACTTACTTGGAGAAAACAAAATGCCTTTCGGATTTTATTTCTTACATCAAAATAATTTACCAGGAAATCATAGTTTGTGCCTTTCTAAGTAAATGTTTAAAGCTTAAAAAAAAAAAAAGAGAGAAAGTGGAGTCCAATTTCTTGAACCAGCGCTGAGGTAATACAGTTTTGTGTCTGTATTATGTGAAATGTGGAGTTTGGAGGTGCTTTTCACTTTCTGGGGACTCACAGGACATTGCAGCAGACTGGCTAACGCAGAGCTTTGTAAGTCGTTAGCCAGCTCTTTTTCCCTTCTCCAAACCCAAGTCGGCCTGAATTAAGAGGATAAAATGAAGAACAAGCAAGTATTTTTTTTGCAAAAAAGGATTCGTGAAGTCCAATTTTTTTAATCACCTTTTAGTATTTGTAACTTTTTTATATGCAGCAGAGAGCAGGAATTATTGGTGGGTGATAAAAAATAGGACAAGTGACATGAAAACACAGGAACGGTACACACAGGGACATTATAACAAGGAAATGGCTTAAGACAAAAAAAATTAAAAAGCCACTTTGTTTCCAGTTTTGCCTCCCAGCCGCAGACTGTGCTATTTCACAGTTAACCAGCACTTCAGTTTGATGCGACTTTTTTTGGCTGTTATAAGGTGAAATGTGGAGCTTGGAGGTGCTTTTCACTTTCTGGGGACTGAAGGCACATCACAGGACCATGCACCAGTCTGGCTAACGCTAACGTAAGTCGTTAGCCGGGTCTTTTCCCCTTCTTCTAACCCCCTTACCTTAACAATTAAGAAAACAACTTAATAAAGACTGATCTAGGAAGATTCACGTTTATATCTGAGTTATGGCTGAAAAATTATGTCGACTTACTTGGAGAAAACAAAATGCCTTTCGGATTTTATTTCTTACATCAAAATAATTTACCAGGAAATCATAGTTTGTGCCTTTCTAAGTAAAATGTTTAAAGCTTAAAAAAAAAAGAAGAGAGAAAGTGGAGTCCAATTTCTTGAACCAGCGCTGAGGTAATACAGTTTTGTGTCTGTATTATGTGAAATGTGGAGTTTGGAGGTGCTTTTCACTTTCTGGGGACTCACAGGACATTGCAGCAGACTGGCTAACGCAGAGCTTTGTAAGTCGTTAGCCAGCTCTTTTTCCCTTCTCCAAACCCAAGTCGGCCTGAATTAAGAGGATAAAATGAAGAACAAGCAAGTATTTTTTTTGCAAAAAAGGATTCGTGAAGTCCAATTTTTTTAATCACCTTTTAGTATTTGTAACTTTTTTATATGCAGCAGAGAGCAGGAATTATTGGTGGGTGATAAAAATAGGACAAGTGACATGAAAACACAGGAACGGTACACACAGGGACATTATAACAAGGAAATGGCTTAAGACAAAAAAAAATTAAAAAGCCACTTTGTTTCCAGTTTTGCCTCCCAGCCGCAGACTGTGCTATTTCACAGTTAACCAGCACTTCAGTTTGATGCGACTTTTTTTGGCTGTTATAAGGTGAAATGTGGAGCTTGGAGGTGCTTTTCACTTTCTGGGGACTGAAGGCACATCACAGGACCATGCACCAGTCTGGCTAACGCTAACGTAAGTCGTTAGCCGGGTCTTTTTCCCTTCTTCTAACCCCCTTACCTTAACAATTAAGAAAACAACTTAATAAAGACTGATCTAGGAAGATTCAACGTTTATATCTGAGTTATGGCTGAAAAATTATGTCGACTTACTTGGAGAAAACAAAATGCCTTTCGGATTTTATTTCTTACATCAAAATAATTTACCAGGAAATCATAGTTTGTGCCTTTCTAAGTAAAATGTTTAAAGCTTAAAAAAAAAAAAGAGAGAAAGTGGAGTCCAATTTCTTGAACCAGCGCTGAGGTAATACAGTTTTGTGTCTGTATTATGTGAAATGTGGAGTTTGGAGGTGCTTTTCACTTTCTGGGGACTCACAGGACATTGCAGCAGACTGGCTAACGCAGAGCTTTGTAAGTCGTTAGCCAGCTCTTTTTCCCTTCTCCAAACCCAAGTCGGCCTGAATTAAGAGGATAAAATGAAGAACAAGCAAGTATTTTTTTGCAAAAAAGGATTCGTGAAGTCCAATTTTTTTAATCACCTTTTAGTATTTGTAACTTTTTTATATGCAGCAGAGAGCAGGAATTATTGGTGGGTGATAAAAATAGGACAAGTGACATGAAAACACAGGAACGGTACACACAGGGACATTATAACAAGGAAATGGCTTAAGACAAAAAAAATATTTAAATTGTTTCAAGTAGCCAGCATTGTTAGAAGCAGACACCATCTGCTTTTTCATATTTTTTGTATTGTATGTATTGTAAATATGTCACACGTGCAAAAAGGAGTAGGACTTGTGTACTCCTACCACTTTAATTTTTACATTCCATCAATTAAAAATTTTTAGATTATTATCATTATATATATATATATATATATATATATATATATATATATATATATATATATTTATGTACACAATATTAAAGGGTAAAAATAATCTTGCACTAATATGATCTTTTTTAAAGTCGTCCCTGCGCCTTTATTTTTTAAAGTAATTCCTCTTTTTGTCCTCCTGCACCTCCAGTCGGCAGCAGCCTTGTTTGGGGAAAGAGAAGGTGGAGAGAAGCACAGAGGGGACTTTAAGGGACTGGGAAGTCAGAGTCAAGGGGTGAAAGCCCAGGTGTAGTGTCATCTCAAAGTGGAGGAGCAAGGATGAGATTAGAGTTTCCATCAGCAGTGCAGCCACCTGGAGCCATCTCCCCAGCGGAGGCCACCGACCCCGGGGTCACACCATCTCAGTGTCAGCCGCCTCCTCCAGGAGGGAGAGGAGGACGGACAGGGACTCATACCACAGTCGACCCAGCAACACGGAGAAGATGGACTGAGTCCCAGGTACTCCCAACATAATAACATCATTTTTTATTCCATTTCTCATATGTGTTGTAAATGCCACTCTTTAAACAACGGCCTTGTTAATTTTGTGCCTGTGTCCAGCAACATGGAGAAGATCGCCATTCCTCTGCCATCCAGCGGAAAGAGACTCATGCAAAGTGGCGACAAGAGCGACAGTGATTAAGAATTTCTCTACGTCCTTTCCAAAGCGTCCTCGTCAAAACGTATTCATAACATTTAACAAGGCTCTACGTCCTTTCCAAAGCGTCCTCATCAAAACGTATTCATAACATAAAACAAGGCTCTACGTCCTTTCCACAGCGTCCTCGTCAAAACGTATTCATAACATAAAACAAGGCTCTACGTCCTTTCCACAGCGTCCTCGTCAAAACGTATTCATAACATAAAACAAGGCTCTACGTCCTTTCCACAGCGTCCTCGTCAAAACGTATTCATAACATAAAACAAGGCTCTACGTCCTTTCCACAGCGTCCTCGTCAAAACGTATTCATAACATTTAACAAGGCTCTACGTCCTTTCCAAAGCGTCCTCGTCAAAACGTATTCATAACATAAAACAAGGCTCTACGTCCTTTCCAAAGCGTCCTCGTCAAAACGTATTCATAACATAAAACAAGGCTCTACGTCCTTTCCACAGCGTCCTCATCAAAACGTATTCATAACATAAAACAAGGCTCTACGTCCTTTCCAAAGCGTCCTCGTCAAAACGTATTCATAACATAAAACAAGGCTCTACATCCTTTCCACAGCGTCCTCGTCAAAACGTATTCATAACATAAAACAAGGCTCTACGTCCTTTCCAAAGCGTCCTCGTCAAAACGTATTCATAACATAAAACAAGGCTCTACGTCCTTTCCACAGCGTCCTCGTCAAAACGTATTCATAACATAAAACAAGGCTCTACGTCCTTTCCACAGCGTCCTCGTCAAAACGTATTCATAACATAAAACAAGGCTCTACGTCCTTTCCAAAGCGTCCTCGTCAAAACGTATTCATAACATTTAACAAGGCTCTACGTCCTTTCCAAAGCGTCCTCGTCAAACCTAAACCTAACCTCCTAATGTGTGGCTTTGCTTAACATCCTTGCCAGAACGTCTTCACAACATGTGGGCAGGCCTTCTGAATTGGGATGTGCCCCCAATTTTGATAGGCAGCTTGTGTCCCCAAATAAATGTCCCAGCAATTTAACAGTGTCAGTCTTGGAGGAGTTTTGATGCTGAGGAGAGGCAACACAGTAAACAACTTTTTCTTCTCTAGTTTGGATTTCTGGTGAGTATCTTTATACTAATCCAGAGTTGTAAAATCTTTGCAAGGACATACAGACTTTGAATGTGTGTTCAAATTTAGCTCCTGCTAGTCTAGAGGTGGCTTTACTAGTAACCTGTAATAACATTAAGTCCTTACCTCTTGGGGTTTGTGAAAGGTGTTCTCAAACCAGGAGGGTGGTTATCGGCTACCAGCATTTTACACCCTTTTTAAAACCTCTCCCATGTAACTTTATTTCAGCCAAGGAGGCTTTATGAGTACCATGGTCCTCTCTACCACCAATCAACACCATCACCACATGGGTCCCAGCCAATGACAACGCAGCCGCGGCCAGAGCCACAGCCACAGCCGCGGCCACAACCGCAGCCGCAGCCGCGGCCACAACATAATAATAATAATAACACATTTAAGCAAGACGGAGGACACAGAGGAGACTGACACCCCAGATGATTCGGACGACAGCACGTGGTCACCTGACGAGTCAGAAGAAGGGTTGACAGCTGATGATGCACAAGAAGTGGTAAGCGTCTATGCACAGAGTAACTTAGCATATCACAGTATGGGGTCAACTTCTCATACCCAAACTTTTCTTCCTTGCAGCTGCAGAGTCCTCTCAAAAAGTCACGCCGGGTAAGCCATCCCACTGTGGTCTGCATTATTATTTGGATTTTTACACCCGTTAACATTACATTATTACATTTGCCAATGCCGATTTACTGGTATACATTTCAGTGTAACTTTTCTTTGGGTAAACATATCACACTGCCAAAAATTGTTTTCTTATTCCAGAAGAGTGGTTATTGCCTGCCCAAAGTGAGGAGTCCCGGTTCATCGAAAACTGTAAGGATAATGCAAGAAATTCTTTAGCTGTACTTGAATTTTTTTTTTTCATACACTTTCTTACTGCTCCCTTTTTCCTGTGTTTCAGAAAAGGAGGGTTTTAACGTACCCAGATGACCTCAAAGATGATATCCGGAGACTGTTCCGTGATGTGTGGAGTGACACCATCACCGTTAGAATGGTAAGTATCACAGTGTAGCAGACCTAAATTTATTAGTTATGCATTTCAATAAATTTATAAGAATTGATACCCAATTATGAATTTTTAAGATTCATAAAATCATTTTATTTAATTTTATTTCATTCCTCGTTTCAGGGCACCACCGGCGTTGTTATAATCCTAGAGACTCCGGGCCTCTAGGTAGTTTTGAATAATTATACAATTATTACTAGTGATCAGTTAGTTAATAATCGCTCAATTATCTTAAATCAGTCAGTCAGTCTCATATCTAAAGGGTCAATTCTCTTGGCAGGAACTAGAAATAGGCAACACACACAGCTCTTGACTATATTACAGTGAATTTATTCTCTAACTAAGGTGATAAAAAGATGGTTGGATACAGGGAACATAAAAATTTGCTGAACAATGAGCCTGGAGGTTCGGTTGTGGGAAGCATTTGACTCATACGGCATAGAAGAGCTAATGAAAGTAAACTAATGCTATAGTTTAGGAGTTAAAATGGACATCTGATCACAGAACGTGTGTTAAGTCTTACTGCTTGTCGACAGCCTGCTTTTGGCCTGTTGCACGGGTCCCACGCTAGCTGCCCGATCCTGGCTTTTTGCTAGGTTCTCCGTGTCCGATTGAAAACGCCTCCTCCGTCTGGCAATTCGGCTGTTTTCAGGTTTCCTTCGTTGTAGCTTGCAAGACCACGTGGCTTGGTCTGACCTCGGTGAAGTTGGCTCGACGAAAAAGGCTTAAAACGGAACTTGGTCGTTCCTGAATTAGTCCAGTGTAACTTAACGGACTGATAACTTTAACAAACAAAAGAAATAAAGAAAATAAAACAAACTGAAGGCAGATCGATGTCGCGGCACTTCAGGTGTGTAGCTTCAGGCGAACAAAAGGGCCTGTTTGTTTCGTCCAGAGGGCCGAGCAGAGTGGAAGAGAGCGGACAGCGAAGAGAGGAGCGAGGTCGCGTGTCGCTCTTTTGTTGCCTGGGGCGTGGTTCCCCAGGGGGCGTCTCAGGTTTCCCAAGGGACTGCATTTCTAAACTTAATCTATTTGCACGTATTATAATCAAATATTTTCCACAATCGAACCTCAGTGGTTGAACGGTAGTACTGTTCTAGGCATCTGGTAACAGGAAACAATTGTCACATTATTGGTCAGGATATTTATACATTTAACGGCATTTCCGATGAGGGCATGTAATACTTATTTCGTCCCTTTGGGGGAGCTCAGGTTACATGAGGAAAGCTTGGATTAAATCAAAGATCGTCTCTCCTTAGGAACTGGGAATATTGTTGATTCATCCTTAAATTCAAGCTGGCGATTAAGAGTATAGTAAAACATTCCTTTGTCATCATTTCTAAAGGAATTTTGTAGGAAAGTATTATGAACAAGCATTGATTACATTAGATGAAGGAGTGTCTTGCTGAAAATAAAAACACTGCACAAGTAACTCTCTTTTCAGCACTAATATCAACAACAGATAGCAACAACAGTTAACATAACTACTCAAATAGAGGCAAACGTAATCAGGTAACTAAAGATTTAATTAACTCAATTAAATGCTTTGAGTCTTTGGAGACTGCAGTCCTTTTACATTGAAAGTTCAGTGTCTGGACCATGTCACACTTGGGTGAGACAGGGGTTTTCCTTTTTGATGTGGTAATAAAACAAAATATGGTTAGTTGCCACGGAAACATGTGTGGGGGGGCCAGTTTTGATAGGCTGTTTAGGGAAATGCCAATGGCTGGTTCGTGTCCCTTTGTCAGTTTAACAGTCAGGCCCCGCGTTATCAGCTTGGTGCCAGTTTTATGGTCGGGACAGCACTTAGAGAAAGCAACTTTGACCCCTCCCCTTCTTCTCTGGGGAGGAGAAAGGAATTTAGGGTAGCTCCAAATTTATTCAATGTAAAATGCACAAATCCACACCGTTGTTCACTACAACAGTGTTCCTTGTGACGGACATGGCGTCTAACTTAGTTGTGTAATAAGGATAATTTCCCAGAGAACAACTTCTCTGTTTTCCCTTTTGGAAGGATTACACCTGATTGCATGCACAGTTAAAGCATACAAATGTGTTAACAAAAGACTTTCAGACTGGATTATACTTGAAATATTATCTTACAGACTGTAAACTTTTCCAGGCTGACACCTTTCCACTAAACATTTCCGATTGCTTGTTTGCTGTGTTTGATTTTTAGATGAATGCGGTTCTCAACAGAGAGCCAGCGCTTCTGCAGAAATGCCAAAAACTGAAGTTGACTATACACAATTTACGTGGTCTTGTTCTAAAATTGCAGGCAGAGTGATTTTTAAATTTTGTTTATGGAATATCTTTTTGGCAGCTGTTTTTATATTGCTTTTGTGTATGTTTTCTTGTTTCATGTTAATATTATGTTTTCATATTCCTTTCATTGTGGTGTGACTAATCAAATATGTTGAACATGTTTGTGTTCAATTTAATAAATGTTGAATACTTTGAATTTAACACCTTCCTTTTGTCTTTTTTATTTTAATTAGATATTGTTTATCATTGCTAACATTGTGACTTTATTAGTGCAGATTTGGTCACTAGATAGAGCCAAATGAACATCTTAGAACAAAATAACACTAGTCATTGTGTTATGTCCTTTTCATGCTATCTACTCCACCACATCTGAGGGAAATGGACACAAACTGGGGTTAGAATAAGACAAAGGTCACTCTTGTCAAAATAGGGGGAGATATATACATATAAAAACCCTACCCCTGTTCAATTCAATTCAATTTCAATTCAGTTTTATTTATATAGCGCCAAATCACAACAACAGTTATCTCACAGCGCTTTTCATAAAAGAGCAGGTCTAGACCGTACTCTGTGATGCTATTTACAGAAGCCCAACAGTTCCCACCAAGAGCAGCACTAGGAGACAGAGGCAAGGAAAAACTTCCTTTAAGAGGCAGAAACCTCGAGCAGAACCATGACTCAGGGTGGGCGGCCATCTGCCTCGACCGGTTGGGGTGAAGGAGAGAGAGAGAGAGAGAGAGAGAGAGAGGGAGAGAGAGAGAGCGAGAGAGAGAGAGAGAGAGAGAAATGAGTTTCTAAAAGAATGTTCAAAGATTCCCATGAACACACTCCTAAATATTGTGGAAGCCTTCCCAGAAGACAAAGGGTGGGCCAACTCCATATTTAACCCTTCGGATTAGGAATGAGATGTTATTAACCTTCATGTGAAAGTGAAGGCAGGCCCAGCTCTCATTATTTTTGAGCACTAATCCTCAAAAGCTAATGTTCTTTAGTTTTTGGGGTTGGCGACCCCCTGCACCCACCACCCTCGCTCGACCCTCACTGACTCGAAATCCCTTAATCTATGGAGTTCTCCTGGATTCTGATGCAACAGCAGACTATTTCCAAAGCTGGCTTCTCAAGATGGCCCTGTCCTGTCTGTGGTTACCAGTCTCTCTGTGGCTGCCTGTGTGAGGTTATTTTTTTTTACTTTTTACAATTAACCATGTAATTGGCACTACAAATAAATTAAAACTATAAGCAGAATACTGAAAATATTTTTTGTGTGGATGCACTAAAGAGGCCATATTTGTCTGACTGCTGGTAGAGGGTTTCTGCCTGAAACGTCATTCAAAATCAAAACTATTTACAGATTAAATATATCATACACATCATCTTCTACAAAGATACAAGGAGAGGAGTAGATTATTTTCTATTTTCTTTATTTAAACAAAAATATATATATTATATATAATAAATATAATATATAAACAAATGTATGCCTTATTTAAACTATATAAATATATTGCTTTTAAAATTAATCAGGCCATTGGCACTACAATTAAATAAAACAATAAGCAGATACTGAAAGTATTTTATGTGTGGATGCACTAAAGAGGCCATATTTGTCTGACTGCTGAATGTAGAATTTAAAACTTCCTTTATGAACAAATCCATGCCTTCATTGAACTATAAAAATATAAACATCAGTCTCCTTCTTCCATGGGATCATCTTCATCATCTGCAAAGTACTGGAGAAAAAAAAGTAAATAAAAACTGCATATAAGGATGTGAATTTAATTGATTTTTAGTATAGACTATACATTACTTGTCATCTTCCTCAGGTAATTCAGGAGGAGGAGGAGGAGGAGGCACATGCAGGTGGTGTTCCTCAACAGAGGTGACCCAGAGGTCACTTTCCTGCAAAATGGCACAATACAACAGTTGTTAAACCTGACTGATGCATCACAATTCACAAATATACAATAAACAATACACTGAGATGCCTCCAACTCCAAAATTCCATCCAGTGATATAGCATTCACTGCCCTGTTTGACATAATTCCATACTGCTATTTCAATGCACACTATTCATTGAAATATCAGTATGGAATTATTTAAACAACAATGCTGAGAGCTATATAATTAGGTTGAATGACAAAACTGTCTTTAGTCATGGTGTTAATAATTTTAATCATGTAATATTTTGCAATATATGAAATCCTGGCATGGTTGCTGTGCTGAAACTGTAAAGGAAAAGTGTAAAAGCTACTTTCATCTCATCCTATTAGGCACAAAGTATTTAAATTAAAAAACTCAGAGTGCACTATGGGAAATATCAAAAAGTCTTTTTTGGACTTATTTGGCAACACAGTTGTCCACATTATTTAGTCACAAGAGAGCCCAATATTTCATGGAAAAATATCCAATGACATGTCAATAATTTATGCATGGTGTAAACATACAGATTTATAAATTTATTTAAGGCATACTTACTGGACTGAAGTCGGTGCCATCTTCCACTCCACTTTTGTCAGCCATTATCTGAAAAAGAT